AAGAATTTATGGCGGGAGATGATGATAATGTTGATTTAGCTACAAGAGAGGCAGCCCAGCAAAGATAAAACGTTGCACGAGATGTAGAGGAGACAACTCTTTGAAATGCAGAACTTGTCTTTGAGGAGGAGAGGACTCGGAGAATGGCTCTGAATCAACCTTTGGTTGTAGACCAATTCGGAAACATATCTCCTGGTGCTGGGAGACCACTTGGCGATTATGCTAGACCGATCTACAATCAAGGCTTATCAAGTAAACGACCACCTCCAGTTGCAGCTAATAATTTTGAGCTAAAGGAAGGGTTACTTCAAACTCTTCAAAATAGCTGTGTTTTCAAAGAAAAGATGAACGAAGATCCAAACAATCATCTGATAGACTTCGAGGAGATTATGAACACATTTCAATACAATGGTAGTGTCAGAAGATGTAGCTTACTTAAAGGCATTCCCCTTCATACTCAACGATGATGCAAAGCACTGGCTTTAAAGCTTGCCTAATGGGTTGATTAGAACATGGGATGAGATGACTAGAAAATTTCTTCACAAATATTTCTCATCAGCTAAGACGAGCAAGTTTAGAAGAAAAATCCATAACTTCTGTCAGAATGAGGCTGAAACTGTGTTTGAAGCTTGGGAGAGGTTTAAGGAGATAGTGTAAAAGTGTCAACATAGCGGAATTGAAATCTGAATGCAACTCCAGTATTTTTGGGATGGGTTGACACCAGCCTCACATAGAACATTGAGCAATGCATCTGGAGGCCCATTGATAAAAAAGACTCCAGAGGAGATAGTCACAATTCTAAATAAGTTATCTGAATACGCAAATCAGTGGCCCTCTGAAATTGCTGAAAGAAGAAGATCAACTAGTGTTTACCAAGTTGACGCTAATACATCTGTACAGGTACAGCTTGATGTCATGGCCAAGGAAATAAGGAAGCTAACCTTAGCTTCGATACATAGTGAGCCCCATACAGCATGTGATATATGTGGAAGAGGGCACCCTAGTAATGAGTGTCAAGCCTTAATCGAGGAAGTTAATGTTGTTGGGAATTATAACTTCAAGGCAATGGGTCAGAAGCACCCTAGATTTTCATGGAGTTCACCTGGGGTACTGCAAATGCATGGAAACAAAAGAATCCCAGATTTCAAGGACAAGTAGCTCCGGGTTTTATGAATCAGTCGAGGTCACAGTTCTAGCCTCAACATTCCACTCAGCCTAGGCTAGAAGATCTAATGAAATCCTTTGTTGTCAAGACAGATGAGAGATTAGATGCTCATGGTTCAGCTATCAAAGAACTTGGCACTGGTTTGAGAAATTTGGAGAAGCAAGAGGGACAAATTGCAATTGTATTATCTGAGAGAATCCCAGGTACTCTACCAGCTGATACTAAAAGGAACCACAAAGAAACAGAGAATGTTGTGACCTTGAGAAGCGGGCAAGTGCTAAAAGATCTCACTCCAGTCCAAAAAGAGGTGGTACCTAAAAATGAAAGTGAGGAGAAACTGAAAATTGAAGGTGATAAGAGGACAAAAGGTAAGAAGGGAGTTGACAAAAAGAAGGAGGACACTTTGAGAAAGGAAGATCGGAATGAGAGCGAGCACATGCCTGCTCTACCCTTTCCTCAAAAGTTATATAAAGAAAAGTTGTACAAGCAGTTTGAGAAATTTCTAGGGATGCTGAGGCAGGTTAATGTAAACTTGTCATTCACAGAAGTGCTCTCACAAATGACAGCTTATGCCAAATTCTTGAAGGAGATCCTTACAAAGAAGAGGAAGATAGAAGAGACCTCAGTGGTCAAGCTCACAGAGCATTGCAGCACAATCTTGCAAACAAACTCCCACAATAGTGTGGAGATCTAGTGAGTTTTACTATACCTTGCTCGTTAAGCACTCTTAACTTTGATAAATCTTTATGTGATTATGGTGCCTTAATTAATTTAATGCCTTTGTTTATTTACAGAAAATTAGAGAATGAGCTTGGAGAGATAAGGTCTGCACCAATATCTTTACAGCTAGCAGACCAAACAACTATTATACCCGAGGGGATAGTGGAAGATGTCTTTGTTCGGGTAGATATGTTTGTATTTCCTGTAGATTTCGTAGTGGTGAAGATGGAGGAGAATAAAGAGGTCCCCCTTATTTTAGGAAGACCATTCTTAGCGACGGTCAGAGCAATATTAGACATACATGATAGAAAGCTCATGCTTAGAGTGGGTGAGGAGACGATAACTTTCGAGATGAATGTGGAGATGGGGGTGAGAAAGGAGAAGCGAGCTGCAAGTGGAGAGTGAAAAATTCAAAAGAGAAGGCTGAGATGAGTGAAAAAGACAAGTGTGGGGTGTACCCCAAGAAGGCTGAGAAGAAGTTGTCTGCGTGGATGTGTGCACTAGTTCGGGCATGAATAATGGAGCCCGAATTTGACTCAGACCCCGACTTATACCTTGAGAATAGTGAGTGCTTTATTTGTGACACTTAGGCTCAGTTTTTGACTCTTTTATAAGTACCTTAAAGTGTATGACCTTAACCTTGCTTAACTACTTTGACTAGAGTGTCTTGATAATCCAATCTTGAGTGAGTTATGTGCCATGTGTGTGTGAGTTTTCGTGTATTCTGTGCATTGCATTTGATGTCTAGAACTTGCCCCGTGTGTTTGCAAAGAGAAATAGTAGTTTTATTCAGTCTTGGAAGTGATATAGGCATTTCTTTGTTGAGCCAATGATATACCTTATCCACCAAATTGTTATGTATCGTAGTTAACCCCGTTGAGCATGTAATCATGTTTCTTTGGTAACCACATTACAAGCCTTATCCATTTATTTGAATTAACCATTTATTTGAACCTTTTACCTCTCGTGAGCACTTGAAATTGTATGAACTTTGTAAAAGTTGAAGTGGGGTGATTGGGTTGGTTCTTGAGTGGAGCTAATAAAATAAGGAGAAAGGTGCACTGTTTTGAAAAAGTAAGAGCCACTTAAATTAAAAATAATATATACATAGTGTATTATTGTGTAAAATTATTCATTGTTAAGTGGTAACTCTTGATATATTTGTGCTTAAAAAAGTTGGGAGTTAATGTAAATTGATGTGAAGGTGGAGTATTGGTTTGACATAAGTGTGGGGTTTTAACAATGAGATGTATGTATTAAAGTGCTTAGGGAGGTGTAGTCACTCTTATATCTAAATGTATCATACCCGTCTCGTAGCTTACATTACAATCAATTAAAGTCCTACTTGATCCTTGACTGAATAAGCTTAATTAGTGGAGTAGTATACTACGGGCAAGCCTATAGTTCATCTTTTTTGGCATATGAATATTGTTTCTGAGAGTGAGCGAATTCTTTCTATTTGAAGTTCCTAATTGTGCGTAAATTTGATTGTGTGTGGAACTACTCTCTTTTGTTGTGAGGGCACGTGATTCATGAAGGAAAGGTAATATTGTTGACCTATGTGTTAGAGAAAATGAGCGAGTTGTAAATAATGCGTAGTGCTTTAAAGTCAACTCTTGAGGCGAGGATGTTACGTAAGAGTGCTTAGTCTATTTTAAATATTCTTGGTATGATGAGTTATGAGAATTGTTTTAAAAGGTCGTGTCATTATAAAGTGAAGTTTGATTACTCGAGGACGAGCAATGGTTTAAGTATGGGGTGTTGATGGTAGGCTATAATTGTGTGTTTTAGTTGCTTGTCGTACTATAATTTAATGTACTTTAATTGAGTTTGAGCCTTAATTGCTATTGTTTGGCACTAATTATATGTTTAATGCCTTGTAGGAGTGATTCCGAGCTATATAGATGTTATGAGATGAATTCGCGCTATTTTGGAGTTTTGAAGTCTGAGTAAAAGCCCAAAGATTAAGTTGGAATCGAGTTCGGGGATCAACGGACACTAGTGCATTCAAAAAGAGAAACGAAGAATCAAGTTGGACGTCACCCAGGTGCGCGACCGCGCACTGGGCGCACATGTGAGGCAGAACACTATGTAAAGTGCGCGGCCTAATGCGCGAGTACCTTCCCAGGTGCACGGCCACGCACGTCCTGTCCGGGAAGAGTCCTACTTCGTGAAGGAGAAGGTGTGTTTGTTCGGGCCCGACCCTACTTTGTATATATACATAGAAAAATGGTATTTTGAGGACTTTTGACATACTTTAGACCAAAGGAGTCTAAGGAGAAGTGGAAGAAGCAAGAGCACAAGGATTTCATCCTTCAATCCTCACTCAAGACAAGGGTTTGGATTGTTTTATATTTTCCTTTAACTTAACTTTATTTGTTATGAATTTCTCCATATCTATGGAGTAATTCTTTATTAGGGATTGATGGATTTGGTGTTTTGAGAATTGTTTGTTAACTCTAGTTTTATGTATTGAATCGTTTTTGGTGTTACAATGTTGCATATATATATTCACATGTTTATGTAATCGAAAGAGGCGTAACTTGTGATATTTTTGCATTATCTTGTTGGTTGAATTCATTGATTCTTCTTAGTAATCAAAAGAGGTTAGTTGAATTATTGCTTAGACCTAGTTAGGAGAATAATCGAAAGAGGTTCTCTTATAAACCAATCCACTGCGAATTCTTGCATATCTTCACCGATCTTAACTTAGTTTATATTGTGAGGTTGAGACTTAATCGAGAGAGGAGTTTCTACTAAACATTCAAACTAATAATAGAGTGAATTCGAGAGACTCGCTTGAACCTTAGAAGTGAATTAACTAGAGTTAAATCCCAGACAAGTATCTTGCACCTATCCAATCAACCCCTATTTTCTCCCATTGATATCTTCTTTGCTTACTCTTGTTGTAATTGTCATTATCCAATAGTTTAGACTCTTAGTTAATTTTGGTTTTAATCACATAAATCTCAATCGTTGATCATCTTGGATAGCAATCAAGCTATAAACTACGAAAATACTATTTAACTCCAATCCATGTGGATACAATATTATATTATACTATATTCGACTAGAGAGCATATTTAAGTGTATATTTTGCGCTCGTCATATGGTGCTAAAAACCTTTTGCGTTTCGAAGGCCAGCATCAACAACGTAATATTTTTCTACCAAAATGAAATAAACTTAAATTCATTAAACTAGCTAACAACATTAAAAAAACATATATATTTAAAGTTAATACCATTTGGTGAAAAAGGAAAATTTGTCATTGGGTCAGCAATCGCACTTTCAAGCACTTTACTGTCCTTACCTTCCCAGCCAGCTGCAATAAATGTGAACCGCATATCAAAATCGCACGCACATAGGACATTTTGTGAAGCATTTCCTTTGCGGTTATGATATGCCAGTTGCTTGTTTCTTGGGACTTCCCCTTGAATATATGTTCCATCAATTGCACCAACACAATCCTACCAAAGCCAAATAGAGAATCATCAGGAAACAAATTCTTGCAAGAATAAAACACTAGCAGTTCAAAAGGAGGTTGTTGGCTAACCTCAATGCAAAACCATGGCCATCAAAAATAATAATGAACATGTTTACCTTGAAGTAAGACCAAAAACGGCTATTGTGTCAAATCATAGGATGTATGTCGGTCATATTTTTTGGACATATAATTATTGATGCCATCTGACTAATTGCTTTAGCAATTGTTCGAACATGCCGGTTAATTGTCTCGAGCGAATGTTGAAAACATTTACTTGCCGAGTGCTGACTATCATTATGTGCAACAACAGTCAGAAAAATAGCTACGGACTCCTCAATTGTAACACGTGTGGTGCGATGCTCGATTGGCAACAAATTATTTTGTCGTATCATTCCAATAAACCGGTGAAATATTTCAGGATAGAAATGCATAGATTCATATATACGCATGCGATGTCCCTAAAGAAGTTCAATAACCCATGCCATACCTGGTCTAGATGTATGTTGCGGCCTTTGAGATAATAACCATTGTTCTCGTCTGATCTGTTTAGAAATTGCAACACATATTATGTCATCCTCAATATCATTGTCTGAATCAGTGTCACTGCTGGATATACTCATTTCTTTTAAATCCACCCTTACAGTCAACCTACAAAAATAAAAAGAATAAACTGTCATGTTTCTATACTACAAACAAGTATAACTAAAATAAATAGATGGATCAGCATAAAAAGTGTCATGTTTCATGACCATGGAAAGTAAGTGATAAAGATTTTATCTGCAAACAAAGAGTACCAGAATTGATAAAAAAAATTAGATCATTGCACTAAAGAAAGAACGCCATGTAGGTAATAATATTTTTTCTTAGTCATAGTTAGTCCAAAACCATGAATATCTATGCTTCATGTTCATGAGTAATGACAGCTATATGCAACTTCACTAAATAAGACCATAAGTAAATATGGGATAGCTTTAGGTATTGACTTATTGATGTACCAAGAGTTAGAATATCACACTCTGCAATAACACCCAAGTAAAGTACTACTTAAATATTAAAGTTTAAGTGTTTCATCACATTAGAGTACAATATAACAAATTACAATCACGGTTGCTCAAATTTACTGCAAGTCCTTAACCCATTGAGCTTGAAACTTCTCGGCCATATGGACGAACATCTTACGAAAGCTGGGGTCAAGCAAAAGAGGTACAGCTAGAGATATTTGCTTATCATCAATATAGTACTTTTCCATGATGAATTGCAGCTGGGTAATCACGACTTGCTCAGAGTAGACATCAATCTCATGAGGTATCGATGCTTGTGCCCGTTCCTCCTCGTTTTTATTTTGCTTCCTTCCGGTCTCTCTTCCACTTCAAATGCTCAATAAAATACTTCTGGTTATAATATGATAAGTCACCACCTTTTTTATGGCGTGTATATGTTCCACCATCAGTCGCCAAAGATGTATCTGCCATAGTCTGCTTCCCACTGCTAGTACCAGTACTTGTACATATTCACAGGCCCAGTACCAACAGGATAGTTGTCACAAGAAAAGGGTTCATTATCCACTGCAGTAGCTTCATCTGATCATCGAGGGGAAACAGGTGTTGTACTGTAGACGACATGGCTTCCCGTGGCAAATGAATTTCCAAATATCTCTTCTAACAAGTCAAAGTGTTCAAGCCCCTTTATCTGTATTTATAGATTTATTTTTTCTTTCATTATCTGAAAAATATTTAAAATAATATGTTAGTTCAGAATGCATAAAGGTACATCATACATATTTTTACTCGTCTCATAAACTTACCAGCACATGTTTTTGCCAAATATCAGCTGGGCAAGTAAGTGTGTTATTTTCAGGATCCCAACCATAGCCGGAGCAAGAATTAAGGAGGTTCCTAAAGTTTTTCGTGTATGTCCTTAACCTTTGTTGTTTGGACTTAATGCGATGTTCGTCATAAGTGTCTTTCTTGCTAGATTTCATCCAAAATTCATATAACTTTCTTCAATCGTGGAGCACTTAGGGTCGAACCATTGAACCCGCACTTCCTTGCATCCTCATGTAGGATATGGTTGAGGATCGACGTGTCCTCATCCAATCAATATTCAGCATGTGCACTACGTGGTTTACTCATTCTTTTACCTTTCTACACTATAACAATAATAGAATAATCAATCGCATATGAAAGCTTTCATCTTTAGAGTGCATAACAACTGAAAATAAGCCTTATAAGTAATATTGAAGGCGCATACATAGGAGAAAAAAGGAAAATAAAATTTTAAATCAAGTTACCCTGTTAAACGGTGGCGGGAGCAGTCACAGAATTCTTGTCTGAAATCCCAAAGCCAGCTTCAGGTGTGACGTGCATAATACAAGAAGCACGAACTGTCATTGCGCCAACCAGATAAAATTGACACGACCAAAAAAAGTAAAGCATAAAAGATTTCCAACAAATTGAGAAAAAAGAAAAAAATCTTCAGAGTACAGTAGAAGTGGGGAGAAATAAGTAATTATTCAGTCAATAATATAGACGTAGTTTCCAACATTTAGTCAAATTGAAAAGTTACAAACAAAGAAATTGCAATGCAGGAAGAACTCACATACATGTAAGAGTTTACAAATCTATGAAAAAATCTTACAAATCAAGCAAATAATAGTAAATTTTAGCAACTACCGTCAAAGAATATCGTCGCAGCTGATGGGAGATACCAGCCCCTTGCCGAATTGGGATGGCAAAGGCAGTCGCACACTTTGGTGAGAAGAAGACTTGCTGCTTGCGTGTTGTGTTTCTGACTTTATGGAAGGGAAAGTAGGTAGTTGATGATTACCTAGGTTAATAACTAATAGGTCCTTATTATAAATTTTAAAAATATACGGTAAATTTATAAAACTAAAAAATAGCAACCTTCCAATTTTTAATTGAAAAACGGGTTCTCACCAGTTTTTCAAAATTGAAAATGCATTTTCAAGTGAGATTGGAAAAATTGTAAGATTTCGATAACCAAACACTGTTTTGAAAAAAAGAAAAAATTTCTTATGTCCAAACGAGCTCTAAGTCTGCTAAGGTCATAACCTAAGTGTAATCCCCAGCAGAGTCTCCATGTTGTTGCACTTTATTTTGCGTGAGTCAAAACAAGATTCAACTAGTGATTTTCCTTGATGATAAAAGGAGTCGCTACCTATTATTTAAAGGTATACTATGGTACATGTTTAATGGTTAAGATTATTATCCTATTAGGCTGCTAACTATTGAGATTTTGGGTAAGAATTTTTATTTTTCTAAGGGGAAGGTGTTAGGCACCCCCTAGAATCTACCTAAGGTAGCTCCATATGACTTAGATAAGGTCCGGGGATATTAAATGTCTATATTCTACTTGGTTAGTGCTTAAAAGTGTATACCTTACCCTATGTCATGTTTAAAAACCTATCATTTTAAAAGGAAGATAATATATGTACTTTGAAAAAGAGAATATAGGTTTTAATTATAAAAGTCTTTTGAAAAGTGTCTACACAATTTGAAAGAGTTTTGAAGTATATTTATAATGTCTATGTTTGTAAGCTTATAAACATGGTTAGGTTTAAAATATTTTATCTTTGAAATAAGACGGCCATTTGTGTAACGTTAGTAAAGTAAGGCTATTTGAAAAAGTAGGCCTTAGATATACTTTAAGATTAATTTCAAATCTCGTACCCAAGATTTAGAAGAAAATCGTTTGAAGTGTTCTTCGACCGCGATTGTGTTTTATTTTGTTTTAGAAAAACATGCCTTGAAAATCATTTTCTCGATTCTGGTTTTTAAAAAAAGAAAGTCGCTTACTTTTTGAATCTGCCTTGATCTTCAAAGAGTTTCACAAAAAAGAGTTAGTACAAGTGAAAGCTAAACTGTATAGTAGAGGTAACTATGTATGTTTGAAGTTGTTTAACTACTGAAGAGATAGTGCTTTTAATATTACCTATAATTTTTAGCTTTCCTAGGTTTCTTAAGTAGTTCAAAGATAATAAAAAAATCATTCATTCAATATTATCAGTGTTGATACATATAAGAATAACAGTAAACTTATAATAGCTGTGAAAGGAAGGAACGGACTCATAGTTTTGGACCTGAAAGGGATTAGGCCCAGCAGACAGCGAAAACAAACAGCAGCAACTCCTATGACCTTAAGGTTCAGGCAAGCATCTGGGCCTGAGTCCTTTTAGAACCCGGCAAAGCCCAACTCAGATACATGAGGAAAAAAAGAAAGGAGATTATTAGATATACGGCCCAATGTGATACTTAAATACAAACAGGATCAATGTAAGGCTCAAAACAAAACTGTAATAGATACTGGTAATCAAAAATGCAATGAAATTAATGTAAGGTCAATGAGAGTATATAAATTAACAGTGAAGCTTTTTTTTCATTTAACACTAACTCTAAAGAGATTAATAAATGTCAATGGTTAAAAGCTTAAAAAAATTACATTCATGGCCAAGACATCCTTTGGATCCCTGGCACTTCAGAGTTCGCAAGGATCTCAGGGACCCCGAGCAGTGCTTGTATTAGGGAGGGTATCTCAACCACTAACTAAATATTAATCTTAAATACCCTTAACCATTCACACTTACTCCTCCCAATAGGTTTAACACCCAATGAGGCATTCACTGTTACTCCAGAATGGTAACAATAACACAAAGGCATATACCTTTCTCACAGGCAACTATACAGAGTACTACTATGAATAGGAGATAGCAAGTAACACTATAGGGATCACAATCCAAATACAAGGGTGTAGTACACTGTCAATATATTCAACATACTTATGAATGCTCAAATAAATCAATAACAGGTACAACCAAAAGAGAGGGAACACCAGAAAATTATTTAGGAATCCAAACATTAGGTTATATGATTAAGGAGTAGGGAGACACATGCATCTACTGATAAGTTCAGGTTTACAAGAATCCCTACTCATAATACTTTGATAGCTTAATAAACTACGGTTCATTCATAGACTAAATCTTAACCTCTACTAGTAGTATGAGCCAACAACTTCATTCAGAAGCTCTAAGAGCATTGACAAGGAGTGTTTATGCAAGTAGATTGATTTTAACTTAAACATGTGATCACTTTCTCCTTAAAGGTTTTCTAATATCATGTTCAAACTTAGGTTCATCAAGAATTAAAGCATAGAATTACACTCAAAGCAGGGCAAGTAAACATCAGAGGTTTCTCTTAAGTCCACAAATGAGTCACAGTTAACTTATGCAAGCTTAGCAAGGTTCAGTTTTTCTAATGTAACCATACAGCATGAGAGCACAAATATAAGCAAAAACCTGTTTCACAATAAATATAAGTGTAGAACCCTTAGGAGATATACAAACACACACGTGATATATTCCTAAAGAGTACAAAACTACAACATGGTAGATTATCAAAGAGCATAGAATCATACCAACATGATAATTACAGGGGTTCAGAAAAATACATTGTTTCACATTAAGTATGCATAGTTCTAGTAGTAGGATAGTGAGTCCACTTAAACAGGTTCAGTAAATTAATCCAAATATAATGAAGTTCTATTTTCAAATATGTCAACAACATGGCATAACAAAGAGAGGATGCACAAATATAGCATCTAATCAAGCTCTTAAGGACAATAAAGAGCACATCTTAGGTTAGGCTGGCAGAACACATATAAGACCAATTGCAGAGATTCATTAGAGCTTAGTCTAGTTATATTCATAGACATACCTATATAGTGACGCTCACATGCATCATCAAATAGTCATGTAGGTTAACAAAAAATCATTACAATGATTTTTCAAGAGCTACAAAATCACAAAAAGCACATTGGAAGAGAGAAAGCAACCCAAACAACTGCAACTGATACATTTCAACGAAAATGATAGCGTTGTAGTTAACCTTAAGTGTTCATATCTATTTTAGCTTTGGTTCATAAGATAAGAAATCTCAAGTGCATGATACAAATCCATAAGTAATACTAAGGTAAAGATCGATAGAGTAAACATGAGAACCACAGAAAAATCATCAGGAAAATCTAAAGTTAGAACATGTGTACAGAACCATTAAGGCTTTATAGCTGGATACATAAGTTTTAACTAACACACAGATTGTTTAACTTAAAGAGCATTCATTAAGCTTGCAAGAGTAGTCGATAACTTGGTTTCAAGATATTAAGAGAAGTAGTCGGTTCATATGAAAAGCATGATTATCAAACACAATTTAATAACAACACATTATGGACAGAGACAATCATCAGAGAACAACAGGATAGACATGATTTTAACCAAAACGATTAAAAGAAAAGAATGGTCGAAGTACACTGACCTTCCTTTGAGCAACAAACCAAATAAGGATTCTTGTTAGCCGTTTAGGAATCAAAGCTCAAATAACTACCAATGAATTGAACTCAAAATCGGAAAGAGAGAAAGATGAAGAATCAGTTAGAACCTAGATTTTCTGATAGACTCTGTAAACTATTGAATACTCATATTAGGTTGTGTATTGATGTTTTTCTTAGGTTGTTAGGTGTTGTTAGGTGAGAGAAATTAAGGCTATTATTTATAGTGCCTTCAAACCTTAGGGTTCCGGCAGATTTAAATGGCGGTAGTGGAGAATGAAGATTGCTAGATGATGAAAGCAAAATGAGTGAAAACTGAAGAAAATAGAGGGGAAAATCGTTGAAAGATTTACCTAAGTGAAAATGGTTGTTGAAGGTGAGAATCCATCAGAGAAAACCCCAATGTCAAGAGATCACTACGCTTGACCTCTGGACACAAATAATGATGATGGTGCTAAAGAAAATCAACCATGCATGCCATGGATTTGAAAATACAAAGGAAGGAACAGGCGAGTTTAGTAACACAATTTGGGGTCTAGGGTTTGATTTGATTTTTGAATTCTATTGGCGGAAATGGAAAAGAATAGCAGGATTCGCGGATTATAGGGACATATAGGTATTTCATGCTTTGATTGAGATGACCTTGCACAAATTTATATAAGGTTTTGGAGATTGATGGGGTTAGGGCAGACGGGTGAGTAGAGAGCAAAAGGGGAAAGGGGGCGGTGTTGGAAAGAAATGATTTAGGGTTTGGGGGATTGCGGGTTGGTCTCCAGGGTTAAGAGTGAGAAATAGAACGGGAACCGTTGGATCTTTTGATCAACGGCTTTGATCATTTGGAGATTTAAAATTATTTAACAAGTTTAATGAGAAAAAACGACAACTGTTGGATCTTTGTAATTCAATAGTTGAGATAAAACATTAGTAGGGGTATTAAAATAATGAGAAAATCAAAAATAAACATGGTCCATTGATGGCATGGATCGATGGTCAAGATTAAGTGTGTTTGTTTTGTGAGTGAGTGGGACAGGTGACATGGCGCACTGTTATTAGCTCACAGAGATTGGCATGGATTGCCAACTTGGATAGAATAGGTTGTTTGGACCGGATCAGATGGGGAATTTGGGCCAACTATTAGGCTAGTTTTAATTTTAAAATGGCCAATTTGTATTTGAGTGGGCAATTGTAATTTTAGCCATTTAGTCTTTAACTTTTTTAAAATTAATTTATTTATATTAATTAATTTCAATCAAATGTGATAGAAATTATAATCACCAAATACACTACTAATTACTGTAATTAATTAATTATCTACTAAATATCTTATTATCCCATTTACTATAATAGTTTCAGATTATTTTGAAATAATGGGCTATGTTGCCAAAATTTGAGAAATAACTTTACTAAATTAATTATAAACTTATATGATGAATATGAAAATTATTTT